TTTATATTAACGATTTTGGTGTAATACAACAACATCATATGATTTTAGTTGTAATCTGATGAGCCGAATAAGTTTTTTTAATTTTTTTTTTTAGGTTAAATTGATTAAAGCACCAAGTTAATATAAAATCATTAATTAAGTGGTTTAATTGGTATGTTGCATGCCGAATGTTAACAGATTTTATCAATAGTTTCTTTTGGTATGTGATATGGTGTACACATACCAACTTCAAGTTAAATTTCAAGTACATATTTTTGTGTATTTAGTTGTATTATTTGGTATATAAAATATAACTTTAAAAAAAAATGGTTAACTTTTTGGTGTATTTTATTTATCTGAATTGGTGTAGATAATAATTTGAAAATTGGTCATATGTGATCTGGTACTTAATCTGGTATATTTGTTTCTATAAATTGGTGGTAAATTAATACTCTGATAAATGTGTTGGTGTATTTTTGGATTAAATGTCAGATTACTATTGGTACGTCGATTGGTGTAATACATTGTATGGTTTAACTGATTGTCTGAATCATCACAAATTGATTTAGGTATGTGATGTGGTATTTATGCTGGTATATTTGTTTCTAGTAAATGACATCAAAAATAATACTATGATGTATGAGCTGGTGTATTTATTGGTCTAATATATAATACCATAATTTCAAAATACGTAATAAAATTATTGATGTATGAGTTGTTGTATTTATTGGTGTAATAAATTATTTGGTGTAATTGATGGTGAAAATTGAGGTGAAAAATTTGGTGCACATTTTGGGCAATTACTAAAGTATATCGATAACTGTCTTATATACCATCGAATACCAATATAACTACCAAAACTGTTTAAATTGATGAGTGTATAAAATTCATTCTGCATTTTTTTTAATTTACTAATAATTTGAAATTTTCTACAAGTAATTACGTGGATTACGAAATTGAAGGAGTGATGTATGATGCAAACACCAAATACGAAGGCTTGATTACTACTATATTTTCACAATTGGGTGTGGACACGACCATTTATCATTTGGAACTCAAGTATTTTGTGATTGGTCCATCACCACCAATGAAGATTCATAACGATATGGGTGTATATAATTCCAGCCTAAAACAGAAATAATTTTAGTGAAACTACTTAATGTGAAAAACTTGGTTACCAGAAGTAATAGACTATGTTAATGTAAAACGTTGATTAACAATTGTAAAATATATATGCCCAGATATTGGTAAAAATATAGGAATAATGAATAAAGGTGTGTTAATATATTGGTTTGATTTGGAACCAATATATGGTAAAATAGTCACGCAATTGGTAAACATATAGGCACATAATGGTTATGTGTAGAAATCATATGTTTACTTTATATACCAACATAAAACAATAAATTGGAAAGAAACTAGTTTAGGTTAAAATCATGGTTTGAATGATAGCAGAAAAAAAACACTCTGTTAATGTAAAAAAATTGGTTTACTTGAACTAAAAACTATACAAAACTTGATAAACGTAATGGTAGATATACCAAACTAAACATTGCACGAAATCAAATAGCACATATAAAAAAGATTTGGTAATGCTAAAACCAATTGTCATAATACTGGTTGTATAAAGTAATTCAACTATTTGAGTTATATACCAACCTATAACGGTATATTGTAAAAAACTATAAAAGGTTAATATTTTGATTTGGACTGTTACCATAATTACCACATTCTGTTCATGTAAAAAAATTGGTTTATATATGGTAAAAAAAGGCACAAATATATGGTGAGGCCTCTGGTTAATTCGAATGAAAAACGATTAAGTGAAGAAGATGTAAGGTTTAAGAGATATGAATGATTAAAATTGAAGGGTTAACTCAATATACCGCTGAAAAAAGGATTCTTAATATTTCTAGGAAATAACTCAATTATCAATAATTGTACCAATTTTAATGGCACCATAAAAATCTTTAAATAAAAGGAATAAATCAATATGAACAAAAAAATGACTACAAAACGTAAACGATAAATAAAAAAATAATGAATCGTGTGAAAAGGAATTTGTAATAATTCTTGGAACTATAACTCAATTATAGTACTGTAACAACTTTATTGGTACCACAAATCTTTATATAAAAGGAATCCCAATAAATGACTACAAAACATAAACAAACGTGTGTATGTGGGTGTGTTTAATGAGAGAGAATATATGATAAAATTAAATACCTAATTACACTCCACATAATATGGCACGAACTACTAAGAGTCAGAGAGAGAGAGAATTCCGGTAAAACAAAAAAACAAAATAAAAATAAATGTTTTGTTATGTATGTAATTTAAAAACTTAGTTTGTAATTAAATATAAGTATATTGATATTTTGTTAATAGAAGACTTAAGTAGTATACTTTTGTAATTTTTCCTTTCATAAATAACATTCCAAATCTATTGTGACTATAGGCAAACACAATCTCAAATCTCAACTTCAAAAAGTTCTTTTCATTTGTAACTCAAAAGTTGTCCAAAGGGACCTAATTTCGTGAATTATGTCAACCTATTTTGGTATAATTTGAAACTCGTGTGTCCAAAGGGACCTAATTTCAGCTTGAGTTACCTTTCATGATAACTTTAAGCCAAGTTTGGTATTAATTGTTACCAAAAAAGAAAATAGTTCATTATCTAGTTTCAAGATCTTAATTATTTTTTTCTTATAGAATAAAAATGAAAGACTAGCCATAATAAATTCTGTTATGATATTTACTTTCAAATTTTAAATTCAATTTTTTACTTTAAGATCTGAATTATTTTTCTTTTACAGAATAAAAATGAAAGACTAGCCAGAATAAACTATGTTATGATTACTTTTAAATTTTAAATTCAATTCTTTACTTTAAGATCTAAATGATTTTTCTTATACATAATAAAAATGAAAGACTGACCATAATAA